TATAATATATTATATATTATAATATTTTAATTGTATATTATAAGATATAATTGTTATATAATATATTTTAATTATATTATAATATTAAAAGGTAATTATGAAAAAAAAAACATGGAATGGCTATTCCTCCCATGTGAGGAATGAATGATGATTCACTCAAAATAGGTTAATAATCATTCATTTTGAATAACTATTCCTTTATTATAAGTCCAACCAAACATTAAACTTAAATTTCATTTCATTCTATTCATTTCCTTTCCACCTAACCAAACACACCTTTAGGGTTGATTTCACTTTTGGTCCCTAAACTTTATTAGTTATTCTATATTGATCCTTGAACTTCAAATCATTACAAAATACACCTCTAAACTATTAGGGCTCGTTTAGTTCACATGTTTAAGTCAATGGTTCTGATTCATTGACAGGAACTTTGTAAAAGAACTATTGGTGAGAAATTTATGAATTCAAACTCTTTATGAAATGAAAACACTATAACATATTTAAAATCATAAGTTTAAATATAATTACCAAACAGTCATTATTGTCTGGCATTTGATCATTCAGGTAAGAAAAAAAAAAGCATGTGATCCTCACATTTGATATTACTCATTAATGAAGGGTATTTTAAGCAAATCTTTGAACTAAAATAATAATAAAAATATTTTTTTAACTCTTTATCTATCTTTTATTAATATTTTCTTTATCTATTTGTATAATGTCTTTTTTTTCTTACAATTGTTTCATATACTCAAACTCAAATTATTAATTATGCTACAGTCTTTTCTTTTCATAAAATTGTGAATTTCAAACCTTAAAATCAATAATTATAATTTGAGTATACCTTCTAAAAAGCTTTTTAGTAACTCAATTTAATGCATTTTGAAAGTTTAAAGTATATAAAATAAGAAATCATATACTAGTATTGTTAATTTTTTTGCTTTATTTGGATAGACTAAAATATTTTAAAAATTATTAAATATAAGTAAAATATATATTTTTTTAGCATGAATATACTAAAAAGTTAAATTTTGAGGATAATAGAATCTTTGACAAAAGACTTATGGGTTGTTCTTTTATATTTTTTAGTTAAAGTGACTTGAATGATGATATTGAGTTGAGTTTGAGTTGTAATTTGAGTTAAAATTGTAACTTAAGTTTGTATTTGGATGTGTACATTTGAGTTATGATTTGAATTGAGAATCTATTTGAGTTTGTGTTTGGGTGGGTCAAAACTTAAATTTGTATTTATATAGTATTTTAATAAAAATTCAATGGTGATGGAAAATTTTAATAGGGTATATGATTGGGTTTTATTCGTCTTTTTATTGTGAATACATAGAAAAAAATAATCTCAATTAGAATTAAAATGAAAAGATTATAGCAATTTTAAGAATAGAAAAAATAATATTCATTAACTTGAGTTCGAGTTTATGAACTCGAGTTGAAGGAGAAACTAGCCCGTTCACTTCGTTGATTCGAGTTTATAATTCGAGTTAAGATGTGATTTTGTGTGAGCTTTTTACTGTAGCAAAAAAGTTAGATGTGACTGTTTCTGAGAGCTTTTTACTGTAGCAAAACTCGAATCGGCGAAATGAACGGGGCCTTAAAACTCGAGTTTAGTCCCAAACTCGAGTTCAAACTCAAATTTTATAAAAAAAAATATGAATTTGAATAAAGTTGTAACTTAAGTTTAAATTTTTTCTAAATTTTGTTGCAAAAGAACAACCCCTTCGTACATATAAAAACTGGAATGAAAAATTTTCAAAGGGGGCAAAATGGAAAGAAAACTTGCAAACAAAAAATTTGATGGAGCCCCTTGGGGCTGGCGGGGCCCAAGGCCGCTCCCCAAAACAAAAGGCCGAGACGTCGTCGCAGCTTTCAGAAACCCCATCGTCTTCAGAGCAAAACCGTGAAACTGAAAAAATGGCAGGCTCCGGGTCCACCGGCGGGTCGGGTCAGTTGTCCAACCCATCGTCGGCTTCTCTTCCTCCCAAAATCCTGTTAGCCAAACCGGCCCTTGTAACTGGAGCCCCGGTTCCCGGGAAATTCTCCCGTGGCGGCGGCGGCGGCGCCGGTGTGGACGACGATACGGCGTCGCTTCGGTCCCGCCTACCTTCGATCGGATCACTCAACCTCCTTTCGGAGTCCTGGGACTTCCACATCGATCGCTTCCTTCCTGTAAGCAATAGAATAAGCATCCAAGGTTTCTTAAAAGTTAATTATTATTATTTTTTTGGATTTGTGTGAATCGGTAACGAATTAGGGCTGTTGGAAATTGAAGTTCTTGACGGAGAACACGGATTTCGCGGTGATCGGAGTGATTGGACCGCCTGGGGTGGGGAAGTCGACGATCATGAACGAGCTCTATGGTTTTGACCCGACTTCGCCTGGTGAGTTCTCCATTTTCGTACTATTCATCACAAGTTGCGTTCTTCTGATTTGTCAAAAAAAAAAAAAAGAGGAGTTGTGTTCTTCTGAATTTTATATAGAAATACTGATCAATTAAAAAAAAAGTGAATTTCAAGTGTTTGTTGATTTTAGAAATAGAAATCTTGATAGATTAAGTATTAAAATGTTATTGTGTACATCATTGTTGATGAAAATTGTCATTAAGCAGCTGATTATTGATTAAAATATAGCACAACAATAATTTGCAGCTTATTCAATCAAAGAGAGATAAAATCAGAGATTAACTTGGAATTTAGCATTCATTTCACTGATTCGAGTTTTGTTACAGTAAAAAGCTCTAAAAAACATTCACATCTAACTTTTTTGCTATAGTAAAAAACTATCACATAAAGTCACACTCAACTCGAATTAAAAACTCGAATCAACAAACTAAACAGACCCTTTGTTATTAAAACTGAGGAATATGTGGGGAATATAACACTCTTTCCCTTTACCTATTCATGACAGATAAACATGCCCTTTTAATCTTATTACAAATTGTTTTCTTGTGATTTTCATATCGAAATTCTCGCATACAGGAATGTTGCCACCATATACAGTACAGTTGGAGGAAGTGAGAGCAATGGCAAGACATTGCAGTATGGGAATTGAACCCAGAGTCTCTGCTGAGCGCCTAATCCTTTTGGATACCCAGGTCTTCTTTTTGTGATTGAAACCTTTTTGAATAAAAACCCAAAAGAAAAGACTATGAACAATGACATTATTATTTTTGTCCCTCTGGAGATGCAGCCTGTGCTAAGTCCTTCTGTTTTGGCTGAGATAATGAGGCCTGATGGCTCATCCACCATTCCAGTTCCGGGTGGTGAATCCTTGTCCGCTGAGCTGGCTCATGAAATTATGAGCATTCAGGTAATTGTTATGAGAAAACGAGTTTGTTTCTTGATTCAGTTTTTGGGGTTGATAGTATTGAAATCTTTTGTTTTTACATTGGTGTGTGGTGCAAGGAAATCTTCTAGCTTGGCGTACTTCTGACTTCCATTTGTCACATTTTGTTGGTTGTATCGGAGGGAGTTCATGACCAGAGCATGTGGCGTCTGATGTCCACGGTATCTCTCTACTCTTGATCATTGCTCGTATCTAAACACTTTGTGCATATTAATGCCACATAGCTCATTGTTCGACAATTTTGTTTCTGTCAGGTTCATCTCTGACCAAATGTTTTCTTTTTACGATGTAAGAATTTTGTTCAGTGTTCCATCTGTATTGTTTGGAGTTTTTTGGCCTGTTCTTTTGGAGTGTAATTTTTGAGTTGAATTTGAGTTTATAACTTGAGTTGAAGTTGTAACTTGAATAAAATTGAGTAAAGTTAAATAAAGTTGGAACTTAAAAGAACATGAACTTGAATAAAGTTGGAACTCGAGTTGTCTTTTTTTGAGTTTTTTAGACAAAAGAACAACCCATGTTTCTCAAATGTGTCGCCAATTGGTGCTAGCCCAGTTGGGTGGGGTGGGTTCAAGGGAGAGATATCAGGATTGAATCCTGAGAGAAGCCAGCAGTGTATTTCTTAAATGTGTCATATCATCATAAAGTTAGAAAACATACGACCGCCGCAATTTGAACGGGAATAAGTTCAGCAAGAGGGTCTATTGTAATATTAGAAAAAACTGGGCTATCATGTCCAATTTTTCCTAACTTGCATAGCATGCAGTTGAATTAATTTAATTTTGGATGCCTTATCAATTCTTGTTTCCTCTTTTAAGATTCTTCTTGGGGAACCTCTATATGACAATTTTTTGGACGTCAACTGCAGGTTGATCTATTGAAACATGGCATACCTGATCCGTCTTCACTAACCCCTTCTCCGTCTCAAAGCTCTACTACCTCAGGGCCCGAAAAAGACAGTAAAGATAAAGTCCATGAAGCTGGAGAGTATATGGCTGCTCCAATTTTTGTGCACATGAAGTAAGTGATGCATGATCTACTCCAGACATTACCGTTTCATTTTGAGTGGTCGCACATTATTTGAGAGATCATCAGCAAGTAATGCATCGAATAAATTAGAAGAGGAAACTAACAAATTTGGTGCTCTCGCCGTTAAATAGGCTACAAGATCAAGATCTTACTGTGCATAATTGTGAGCAACTGAAGAAGGCATTAACACATTATTTCAGCACCTCATCTTTCATGAGTGAGAGGCATGGAAATGTGGCCAAAGAGCAATCGTTCTCCTCTGTGGCTCCTAGTGCTCAAAGTGGGGATCCAGATTCTGTGGCTCCAAATTTGTTCGTAATCCCAGCTAGGAACAAAGATGAGTCCCCTATTAATCAGTATGAAAGTCATACCTCTGTGCTATGGAAATTGCGCGACCAGGTCTCTCTCTCTCTTGTGCAATTGATGCGTTCCAGAAATTGTGTTTCTGATATACTAAAGATAATTCGAGTAATCCCCTAAGATCGATTTTTGTCTTTAATTCAGGTTTTATCTATGAATCATCTTTCATTCTCAAGGACTCTGAGCGAGCGTGACTGGTTGAAGAATTCTGCCAAGATATGGGAACTAGTGAAGAACTCTGCAATAATTGCAGAGTACAGCAAAACACTTCAAAATTCCGGCTTGTATAGGAGATAGTCAGTCCCCAGCATTCTGTTTTCTCGTGTACTAGCATACATTAATTAATGGGTTACATTTGTATCTCTTGAAACACTTGCGGCTAGTTTTTTGCCCCTTGACTATATGGAAGAGAATGCGTGGCTTTTGTATCCTTGCTAGAATACATAACTTTGACAGAAAAACAAATGATATTCTTCATTGCAAAATTTGAGAATTACATTGACTCGGAGGAACTACTATTCAGCTTCTATGGCCATTTTTCCTTGCTCCTTTTCTTTTCACTCCATTTCAATCAAGGAAAAGCAAGGAGCAAAAGAACCATCAAACTACAAATTGGGATGAATTTTACACAAAGATGCTAAATTGTCTCGACACTTGCACGCCACTGAACAACGTAGATCAGGTAACAGAATCAACTATTCTACCATGGCATCTGGTGGAGGTGGAGCTTCAGCAGCCGGTTTGGATGATTTTCCTTTGTTCTTCTTCTTACCTGTTCATTGACAAACGTGAAGGAATGAACACCTTTTTAGTTGTTCTATTATGCAATTCCAAAACTCTATGCGTATGTTTTGTAATATGGGTTCTGCTACAGTGCGAACCCATGGTTTTGGTTCTGATAAGAGTGTCTCTCACAAAAAACGTGAATTTTGAAAGTCATAATCAAGAACCGGTTTGAACCCATATACTAAACGGGCCCTAGGTTTTGCAAATACGTCACTTATTGCCAATTTCAATATAGTGTCCGTGAGGAGAGAATCTATCATGAGAAGAAGAAAATGTACCTCTTCCCTTTAATTGTCTAAGCTTCAAGCCTTTCTTCATGGGAAACTTTGTAGAAGCTTTATGGGCATCTTGGGATTCCTCTCCTTCAATAAACAAACAACATATCTATAAGCTCAAAATTAAAAAGCTTCCTATCTAAGGAAAAACAAAAACAAAAACAATCATTGCAAAATTAAGGTTCTCCTAATTAATCAACAATACAACTTTTAACCCCGCAAAATAATAAATAAATAAAAAGAATAAATGAAATACCAAAGCAACATAATTAGAAAATAAGTAGAAAAAGGAGTTGGGAGTATAGAGCGTTACCATCAGCAGCTGCCATCTCAACATCTTGCATAGTCAAGAGGCCTTTCACCACAGCCTCTTTCTGATCCTGCAATTTCAATGTCAATTTCAATTTCAATTTCAAACAACTTGAGTTACATGAAAACTAAAATAAAGAAAAGAAAGGGACTTTATTCTTCTAATAATGAATGAAATTATATGAATTTCTCAGAAGAAAATTAGTTACTCGGCGCCATTTTTTCAAGAGCTTGCGCTTGCGCTTGCCGGAGACGGAGACAGTTTGGGGCTTAGTCTTGAGCTTGCGCGTGGATCGGTCGCCATAAAGCGCTCTCTTCCGCTCTGCATTCAGTGCTCTCTTCTTCTTCTGCACCTCGTTGAACTTCGCCATTTCAATCCACGACCAAACTCCAAAACCCTAATAAAATAAGAATCTCTCATTTCTGTGTTGCTTTAATAGGGTGAGCCTTTTTCTTGGATGGATTTACCCATTTACCCTTGGCTAAAAACGACAGAAATAAATACGACGTTAAATTTCCCATACGACTAAGAAAAATAAAACGACAACAATGACTAAAAGGATAGAAATATATAATATAGGAACAAGAAAAACGATAAGAAGCATACATCCAAAATGAAATTGTAAAAGCGACGACTAAACACCACAACAAGACATCACAAGAAACGACACTGAATTGTAAAAACGACGCCACGAGAACGACGGAGCTATAAAAACGACAATAAGAGAAATAGTAATGAAAAGACCACGAAAACTCAGAGAACATGAGAACTATATAAACGACAAGAACAACGTAAACGAAATGATATTTGGCGTGTTTGTTTTACTGGTTTGGCTTAGTACAGTTCAATTCGAGCGGTGAATTAAGTTTACAATCGTGTTTGATAAGTACGCAGTTCGAATTATATTTTATGTTTAAATTAAGTTACACTATTCAAATTTAACTCTCTCATCCATTTTAATAGTTTAAACCATTTCTGAATAGTAAAAAAGTCTATTATCTCTGTTTTTTACGCATACCAAACACATTCAGATTTTATTCATGTTTAGATTTAAACTTTAACTGCACATCTGATTGCTAATTCAGACTAGAGTTTAAATCACACAGTTTAAATTTTTCTGTTCAAATAAAAAAAATTCAAATGAATTTTAATAAAATTCGAACCAACCAGGCATTTTAAAGACCACAACATCTTGAAAAATACGACTTCAGAAAGGACAACAAGAAAGAAAGATGATATAAATTAAGACACTAATAACTAAAAAGAACAGAGTTTCAAAAAAAAAAAAAAAAAAAAACTAAAAAGAACAGTATAAAAGGCACAGAATTTTTAAAAAATTAGAAACCCCCGAAAACAATGGCATACAAAAGGGCGATAAAATTGAAAATTGACAAATAAGATAACACGCTAATAAGAAAGTAACCAAAAAAACACACACGCACGCACGCACACACCAAGAGCCGCAATTTCAATACGAACGACGTAAAAGCCTAGACTGATATGAACAGAAAAATTTTAGGACGGCAACAAACTTAGAAAACAATAAGAACAACAAAACCGACACTATTTAAAAAAAAACAAAAAAAAAACAAAACCAAATTCAAAAGCGACAAACATTCCAAAAACAACCAAAGATATTGCAAATCAGAAGAAAGATTTGAGCCAATCAAAGTATACATGGTAACGTATTCTTACTATTATTAATTTATTATTACTATTTTTTTTTTTTGGCTGCTATATTACTGTTAGTATTAGACAGAGCTAAGAATACACATTAAGACGCCCCATATCTATAACTAATAACTTGCTTTACATAAACCTCAAATGTAACAACAATTCCTAAAGGCAATTTGCTTCGATCTCCTCAAGAGTGAGGCCCTTAGTCTCCGGCACAACAAAGAAAATGAATCCAAGTGAAACCACCGCTATCACCCCGAATACATAAAACAAGATGCCAGCTCCCAGCAATGCCTGGAATCCAAGCACAAAGTTAACAAACATAACCGTTTATACAGAATCTCTTCAAAGGAAATATTGCTGGGTAATTAGAATGGTCTTTAATCTTATGCACCTCTAAAGGGGAGAATGCGAATGTCACCAGAGCATTTGCACCGAAATTCACAAGCACCGCTATACTTAGTCCTCGCCCTCTTAGCCGCAATGGGAAGACTTCCGAAATCATTAGCCAACCAATGGGACCAAAAGATAGCTGCATGAATATGAATTTGGGTATTCAGTTACACATGTAAAGTAAAGTGCACCTCAGTTTGTTATCAGAGATTGTACGAGGAAGAAAAGAAAACTATGATTACCTGATAACATCCGACATATAATAGCAATGCCACTACAGCCACAACCCATACGTTACCCAAGAAAAGGTAGTATGATCCCAAAAGGAACAAAGAGATGACCTGTCCAATAAAGGGGGTTCATTTTTCCCAATTGGCATGAAAATTTTGAAAACTTGTTGCTCTTTAGTACATGGAACACAAACATCACTTTTTACGCGACTCATTTCAGTAAAAGAAGCGACTCACCATTCCAGACACACCACCAAGCAGTAGGGGTCTCCTCCCAAGTCTATCAACAAGAAGAACAGCTGCTCCAGTCATTATTAACTAAAATCAAAAAAGAGCAAGTCAAGCCATATTCAGTAGAAAAATGGGGGACTTTTGGCACTTTTGGTAACTCTGAAACGTCATAAAACTGAACATTAGTTATGTCACATACTAAAGGAAAGAAAGCTTACCTTCAGTAGACCAAGTAGAATTGAGACACGTGTTGCATCGGATGCTGCAGAGAATCCTGCAGTCTAATAAATAAATTAGATTGGTTAGCACGAGAAAGAATTCTTCCACAAGGTCATCGCTACGTACATAAAACATTAGCGTGGTACCTGAAAAATTGATGAAGCATAGTATAGCACACTAGGTTGCCCAGTGATCTGTCATGGAAATGGAACCACACATGAGCCAAAGTTTTTGGCATCTAGTAACTTCACGTCATAGAGCGTAACCAATTCAAAATACCTGTTGGAACAAGACCAAACCCCCACCAATCACAAGGGCTTTGCGGCACTTTCCTTGAAACATTTCCCCAAAAGTAGCCTCTTTCTCTTCACCAACAAAAGAAAGCTCGGCCAAAATCTCATCTACTTGCACAGGAGCTTTATCTCGGGAGGCTGGACCTCTGAGCCGGCAAAAACAATGTATTGCGGTCTCTTTTAACTCCTGCATATTTCCCTTCCCCTGTATGGCGCATAAAAGGATCCATCTAGGTGATGCTGGGAGCCACCACATTCCAATCGCCATAATGATAGCCAAAGGGCTGCTAGCTGCATAAATATACCGCCAACCGGCAACCACATCGACTAGAAGGCTTCCAATTCCGTAACCTCCCTACACAAGATACGAGGAGGTTGTTATGTGGAGGCTTCGAGCAGGTAAAAAGGAAATAGCTAAATGAAGTATATAGTAAATACTGTTGGGGAGGGAGCTCTAAAAATGATAGTAGAAATGTCAAAGCAACTTTTATCTCGTACTTTAATATTCATAAGAAACTTTCAAACAAAGTCATAGTCCCAAAGATCTAAGTTAAAGAACTCACAACCATCCCAAGCACTATGAAGAACTCTTTAAGAGAGATCAGTTGACCTCGTATCTGATATGGAGCAGTTTCGGCAATGTACATCGGAGCAGCATGCATTGCCTAAGAAAGAAGAAAAACAAGATATAATACGTCTCATGTAAGTCATCAAAATCATCCATTCAGTGAAAAAAAAATGAAAAGAAAGGGAACGAGGCATGCTGTGCATTACCAAGCCAATTCCTATACCATATACAAAGCGCCCAATCACCATAATAGCCAAGTTAGATGCTACTGTTGTTATTATAGCTCCAAAAAGATAGAACAAAGCAGCTGAAATCAACTCCCTCCTCCGTCCTTCATCCAAATTAATAGTTACAAACTCATCAAAATATAAAACATTTGATGAATTTTTGTCAAATAAGTCTGACTATATTAGAAAACAAACCTAAGAAATCAGAAACATTAAAAGCCAATACAGAGCCAATCAAGGCACCATACAACGAGCCACTAGTCTGCAAAATAGCCAAAAATTAGAAACAAGACATGTACATACATACACGTACTCTTAAATTCTTACTTGATAAATAAACATTCATAACAAGAAAAAATTACTCACAATGAGACCGATATCCACAGAAGACAAATTATACCAAGATACCCCGCTCGATGTCGCCGACTGCCAGAGAAAAGTTAAAAAAAAAAAGAAAAAAAAAGAAGAAAGATAAAAAAGAAAATATTTGAAGATTAGTAAATGAAATATTGATTCGGTAAGAGAAAAATAGTAAACAGAAGCTACAAAACTAGAACATCATACCTGTACAGAAATTGTAGCACAAGAAGTCGCCCCAATGTCATATCCATACAGCAGCCCTCCTAGAGCAGGAAACAGAAATCTGAATAGCACAACCATCATACCAAATTAGGGAGAAGCAGCTCAGAATTGGGTTTTAACTTTTTTTATTGAGCACTAAAAAAATTGGCACATCACAAACTCCGAGCATCAGATGAGCCATGAGGGAAAAAAGGCTTTTTTTTTTCTCCTTTCTCTGAAGACAAAGAAAATGCCCAGATCTTAAATTTGCCATAAATCACACAAAAAGATGTTATACAATAACAATTAAGTAACCAAGGAAAATCAAATGAATGTGACAACTACCCATTGCATCATATCTATAACTCTCAGGCTAACAAATAGCAAAAGGAACAATTAAAAGGAAAAAGAAAAAAAAAAAAATATATATATATATATATGAGAGTTATCAGTTTATAAGCTGATAAAAGTGAAAAAAAAAAAAAAAGATTAATTAGGATATATGTATACTCACGGTAGAATTGCAGCAATTACAGAATAGGTATCTGAATTGTGAGCTCCGTTGACATTAAGAAGAGGTTCTTGTAGTTGTTGTAGTAGTTGTATACTCCCAATCTCACCCGACGACTAACAAACAAAAAAAAAAATTCAATTTAAGGGGAAAAAAAACACCAACACTCATAACAACAGACACAATTCATCGGAATATGAAAAGAAAGAAACTTTAACATGATTTCAACCAAACAAATTAGACCCAGATAGAGATTGGGAAATGGAGAGAAGAAGAAGGAACCTTTACGAGAGAAGAGAGCGTGGGCTGCTCTGGATCAGAAGCCATGGATTCTTCGCCGAGCAACGCCTGAAAGCAGAGCGACACAAAATATATAATTTACACAACTTTTGAACGGCGGATTTTTGTTTCCCTTTTCAGTGGAAAAGCGCTGGCTTTTGTGATTATGGAGTAAGAACCGAAACGAAAATGGATGAATTGGAATGTTAGGTGAAGAAATGAACACTTTTCATTTCAACATGTTAAATGTGTATTGGGAGTTTCATTTTGCTAGAAATAGAAATAGAAAGAAATGGGTAAGAGTTTCATTATACCTGCAAACTTCTTTCTGTGTCTCAGTTCTCAAGTTCAATGGGTATTGAATAGAAATTAGGATATATATATATATACACACACACACACACACACATTGATGACAGTCATTTTTTATTATGATATTTTAAAATATTGTAGGGTGACGTTTTTATCCGTTCAGAATTATAATTTAAAATTATTTTTATTTTACGTGTATTTTTTATGAGATAAAATATTATACTGAATCACGAACTAAAATTTGAATCATAGCGCGAATCCTCCTTCCAAACGTTAAGTTATACTGCCCGTGATCATATCAAATTTTCACTACATTAGCGTGTTTTTACGCTTTAAAGTGTGTATAAAAAAATAAAAAAAAATATAGAATTTATTTTAAAAAGTACATGAGTTTAGATATTTAATTTTTATTTTTAATAAATATTTTTTTGTTAGTATAATTATTTGATTAAAAAATGTTATGAATTAAGACTAAATAATAAAAATCTTGACTCATGTATTTTCAAGAGGTATTTATCAAGATTACCTTATAAAAATAAAAAATGTATAATCGAGACCGGTTTATTTCATATACTAAAACTCAAATCAATGATTCTAATAGGGGTGTTCGCGGTCGGTTTAAGTGGTTTTTTTTAAAAACTACCAACCAAACTAAAAGTAATTTTTTCTTTTAGCCGGTTTGATATTTTTGACAAAAACTAAATTAAACCAAATCATTCATAAGCGGTTTGGACGGTTTAAGCTTAAGACTAAAAAAGTTTTCAATAATTCATAAAAATTATAAAATTATTATTCAATAAAAACAAAAATAAGATTTAAGTTTACAATATAACTTAAAAAGACAAACCAATAAAAATATGATAGATTGTATTTTATAAGTGTAAAACATTTATTATAATCAATAAAAATTAAATAAATATAAAAAATATTTTAAAAATAAAAAAATTATATATGTATATTTTTTAACGGATTATTTGACAATTTAGAGAGTTTAAACCACAAATCAAACCGCTTAAAAAACTTACCAAACCGTTTAATAATTCAAAAATAATTAACTTTTTAGTGTAATTTAATTTAAATTGAAAGGTTTCACGGTTTGATAGATTTTTTCAACCTCTTAAATTTTACTACAATATTTTCAAATATCATAATAAAAAATGATGATTCAAGTAGAAAGGGTCAAAAGGTCTAAATCAACCTCATCGATCGTCACCAAGGAATGACCTTGCCGCATAACGTCGTATATTGGTATTGTGTTGTTTACTTTTTTATTGTTCATCTCACTTTTAATTAGGCATTTGCTACTTGTGCAATTTATTACATAACACCACAACGTTGCTTTTTCTAAGCCATAGCTCTATCCCTTAAGAAAAAAGAAGCGCACAACTTTTGTCTTTCTTTCTTATGATTTCATGGAATATGAAATTAAAAAAAAAAACAACAAAGAGATAAGAAAGGCGGGATACATAAAATAAATTAAGAATAAAGGTCTCATTGAATTGAATGGTTGAACCTTTATTTTTGAACTAAAAGATTTGAATCAATGTGTGAGTTTTTCATAGTTTGACTTAACATTAAGATCAAAACATAAAATAAAGTTTCAACCGATGTTTAATTAAATCACTAGACCTATGAGATTTTAAGAAATGGCAGTGAAAATAGTTGGCGGTGACCTTAGGGTGGCTTGTTACTGTGCAAAATGGGTTAAAACCCATCAAAAACTAAAAGGGGGTCAAGTTGGAGAAAAACTTAAAGAAAAAGGTCTATATTGTGCATATCTTGTTGAGTTAGTAGGCAATATCTAATGAGAAAAATAGATAAATGTTCCCTAAAGTGTGTGAGTATGAATTTTTACTATTTATTCTTAATTAATATACTTTTTAGTCAAATAATTAATTAGTCAAAAGAGTATTAATCATGAATAAAAAATAAACTAAGTCTATACATTATAATGGTAAGTTCAACCATTTTCTCATATCCGAATTCAACCATTAAAATTGGTATTTTTTTTATGTGAATATTATGATCGGTCATTAATCCGAGACATGTAAGTTTATCCTTCACTAATTTGTAGAGGTTCCATTTTGTGGTGGGTACGACCTCTTTTGTCCACTTCCCATTTCACACTCTCCAATCTTCCTGTGACCACGTCTACAAACTTCAAAACAAATCTTCTCTTTTGCCAAATCTGTAGAATGTATTTTTATCGTTAAAGCCTATGACTTGCAGTTCCAAAACAGTTGAAAGTATTGATATGAAATGGACCCCATGAATGGGGTTCTTTTTTTTTTTTTTTTTTCCCCCCGCTAAGAAAGCCACGAATGAGGACTTAATTTGAGATCATTATTTCTCAAATTTTCTTAAAAGAAGGTATATTGGCTTCAGAGAAATCAATCAAGACGCTTCTAGGTGGAGACATAATTAATCGATAATTTCACAAAGACTTCACCACTCTAATTTGTTTTAAAAAAAGAAATATTTAATTTGCTTTGAGTGTTTTTCTAAAAATAAAAAAAAAAAAATAATAATAATAAAGAGATGAATAATGTAGGTGGTGGAGCGGGGTACTATTGACGTCAATTACAAGGGAAAGTTGGTAGGTAAAATTACCTTACTTGGGGGGACAAAACATGTGGCAAAAAGCAGGCTATTCTACCAGCCAAACCCAAATGTTCGTAAATTCCAAATGTAATCAATTCCATGACTCAAAACTCAATACAAAGTTAATTACAGGTTCTAAATGACTGTCTTAAGTAACCCATGATTCTCAATTTTCAAATAAAACAAATTCAGATACGGATCTAATGGTGGGAAACCAGACGAGAGGGCGATATTGAACGTTTTTTAAACTTGTTCTAAAATAATTTTATTTTTATATGAAAATAAAAATGAAAACATTTTCAATCTCAGACAGAAATTATTTTTAAATATGCGTTTAATAATTTTATCAAAAGATTATTTTCAGTGTAAAAAAACTCATTAATGTCTCTATTTCTCTCTCTCTGCTCAAGAGAAAAAAATAAAAACAAAAAATAAAAGACGACTAAAAGTCATTTTTCATTTATCTCTCATTTTATACTAAATTAAAAAAATTATTTTTATTTATATTTTTTATTTTTATTGCGCCAAATACTATTTTAAAAACATTTTTCATTTTTTTTTTAAAACGTAAAAAATAAAAACGAAATTAACACGACTATTATCTCTTTTATCTATGTAGCAGAAAAAGATAGTCCGCGGGAGCTCAAGAGGAAAAAATAAAAACAAAAAATAAAAGACGACTAAAAGTCATTTTTTATTTATCTCTCATTTTATACTAAACTAAAAAAATTATTTTTATTTATATTTTTTATTTTTATTGCGCCAAATATTATTTTAAAAATATTTTTCATTTTTTTTTAAAACGTAAAAAATAAAAACGAAATTAACACGACTATTATCTCTTTTATCTATGTAGCAGAAAAAGATAGTCCGCGGGAATCATAAAATTAAGATAAAAAAGGTTTCTGCATGCATCAGTTAAACACTGCCTGCAATTTGCACGTGTACTTGACGTTTACTTGAGAAAGTACCAGCAAACACATGTGAAGGAAATTTGAACCAAATTGGTGACGTTTTCTTTCACACATATGTAGGGTGAAAAAAAGAATTCTAAAAACCAAAACGAGAATATAAAATTAACGGAACTTTATAAAAAATTTGATGTTCCAATTTTGTGCAATGGCAGTAAGTTCTTTTTTTCCTCTTTTTTAAAAAAAAAAAAAAAAAAAAAAAAAAAATAACTTTTTCTGTCCCTACCAAACGGATCCTCCTATTTTTGCTAAATATCAAACTTGCGGTTACAACAAGCGTCAACAATCTCCTCTCTGGAAGTAAATATGATATCCCTTCCCTGGTATTCAGATATTCTCATATTTGATAGTTCACAGGAAAATTATGTTGAAGAGAAACACTTAGAACGCTCATCAATCACAAGGCACCCCATATGGTTCCCCATAACTTTGGATTGAATACCAAAGACAAAATAAGTAACACATTTGTTAATAAGTACGACTGATGTCATGTTGGGATATCAGGCAAACAAAGAGTATCCACCGCTAATATGTGGATAAAGGGACATTTGAGACAATAATTCGCAGTAGGTTTCCATCATCAAACAATGAAGTCAAATAGTTTGTCGTTCCAGTGAGCAATTAAAATAATTTTCACATCTTCAGGCAAGTAAGAGACCTTTTATTACTGGAACAGGCATCAGACTGCAAAATATACCGATCTCCAGGGCAAAGTTTGATGGAAAATTACTTTGTAGGTTGCCATGGCTGGTACCTGGTCCAGTCTCTCTTTCCAGGATTGAGGGCGTGTCCTTTGGAATGGTAGATAAACTCATCGCCTTCCCCGGAGAAATTCTCCTTGTGTTCGACCCCATATCTTTGGGGTTTTAGCATCAAAAGCTGAAGAAATTGCACTTTTTCGTTATTAGCTACATGTTTTATTCTCTAAGCATACTTGTCAAACAAATCAGGGAAACGGGACTTGCCTCGTCTCCAGTGTGATCAGTTATGTAATGGAGCCAACCGTGCCATTCTGGTGGGACTTGAGAAGCGTTGTAGCGACTCTTTTCTGCATATTCGACCCACCTGTGTCTTCCTGTAAAACACTTCAAAAGCTGTTACATGCATAATAAGGATTCAGGAAATTCATACTAGAAGATAAATTATGATATTTTGCTTCAGCACAAACATGTTAGCTTTGATGTTTCCAATGCATGGCCAAATAACAAAGGCCTAAGGATGAATAACCGGTTCGCCATCCACTAAGTATTACAAGGCATTGATCATGGTTTTTCCTCATCTTTATAGTTTATATCGACACTATCATTGAAATCATAGGGCGACAACAAATGAGAAGATTAAGAAGGAAGAAATACTAACCATACTGCATGCCTTCAAGTTTCTCATAATACTTGTTGCCAATTTTATCAACACCCACAAGCGTTGCCCCGATATTGTGTATTTTAGTTTGCCTAGCTCAATCAAAACAAAACCCTGTTAGCAGATCGATTAAGTCTTGATGGAGACAAATGTCATGTAAAACATCATGGTTGAAAATAAGAGATCGAAGGATAAGGCAAAACATAGATAACCATTTCGTTCATCAAATCCACTCATGGACTAATTCATTCAGAACCAAAGACAACAGAGAGAACAAGATATGAATTGAAGGTGATGTAATGATTTGTACAAAATACTGAAGTTACAAATTGAGTGTATGAATTCTAAAACTAAAAACGGATCCAATTACTCCTATTTCGTCAATTTATCATTTCTACCATCAAAAGGAGACTCCTATTTCATCAATTCATCATTTCTACCATCAGAATGAAGTCATCAATCGATAATGCATGCCTTGCTGATTTTTTTTCCCCCCATTTTCATCTTTTAAACAAATCACTAAAGTGTACTTCCAATGGCTTCCAACCCTATTAAAAACATAAAATCTCCATGTGCAATCAGAATAAGATAACTTACAAAAGGTTTCCATCAGGAAGGCATCTCCTGCAAGATTTGATAGAAGTCATCAGTAAGACACAAATGCTTAGTTTGGGATTGCAGTGCTTTCAGAAGAAGTTCTACTTCAACTTATACAAAGGGAAAAGTAAAAGAAGAGGTTAACAATATCTAGTTTCTCAAGATAATTGTAAAAGTGTAATGGTACGCAGCGGGTTTGATGAGTAGCTAAAAGTATGGTGGGACAAAGAATGAAGGCATATCAGCCTTCTTATGTAACGAGCCCCTAGAATTAAGTAACTCTATTCATATCTCCGAAAATTCGTTCTATCCAACAAACAGACAAACAACATAAGCTAAGAAACACAAACAACAATACCCTTGAGCTCCTCTGCTCCTGATCAGGTACTTTAATGCATTTTTATCAAACATACAACTTGCATCCTGTTATATGAAAATAACCTTTGGAGTTTGGAGCTTCCAAAAGAAATTGGCCAAAAGATAGCCTCAATTCAAGAAGCAATTCCAACACCCATTTCAACAAATTTAAATGAAATCAATTAACAATTTGAGGCCTGTGATACAGAATGAGCACATAAATCTTTTTTATTTTTTTATTTTTTTATTTTTTTATTTTTCTTTTTCACAACACAATTACAACGAAGATATTATTCTTCAGCTCCAACCAGAAACCTAACATTAACTGAAAATTTTTCAAGTTCGATTTCTACACAAGATTTCCACCCATAAATATAAAAATAAAAATAAAAATAAAAATAAAAATTCTGGTACCCTCCTAATTCGCTATCTCTTCAAGGATCACTTTAACATGCGAGTCCATTTCGATTAAACATATTGAGCCAGGCTAAAAAACTTTCCAGGATTTTTAAGCCTTATTCGTTTCATTAATTTGAGTTTTCAATTTCAGTTTTACTACCGTTAAAATCTCTCATAAAAAATCACATTTAATTTTTTCTATTACATAAAATTATATCTTAATTTAAATTAAAAACTTGAATCCACGAAGTCCTTAATTTTTTCTCATAAGCGAAACAAAAGGAGAAGAAAGAAGCTGAAAAATCACAACTTTTCTCAGCATTTTCTTTCCTTTAACTAAAAACTCGGGTACATCAGATGCCTAGCAACATGAAAAGAATCAAAACGGTATAAAATTTTATCGGGTTCCAAACAAACTGAGATCTTTTAACATACGCCAAAACAAAAATATTGACGAACAGATGAAATTCGAAAGAAGAAAAATTGAAAATGGAAGAAAGAGAAAACTGACAAGTAGCCTTCGTCCCGGAGCTCCCTGAGGAAGTTGCCGACGCCTTTCTCCCTGATCGCCCTAAACGCGCTCTTCACCACCGACGCCATTTCTCTCTCTTTTCTTCTCTTCTCTCTCTCCTTTCTCTGTCTTCTCTTTCTCTCTTCTCTCCGCTCGTAGGTGAAGTCGAGCACAGCACGGGCTTTAAGAGCATTACGGCCCAACTTTAGATTCAGCCCATGACGACATGTCGTTTGCAAAATAACTGCACAACATTAAAATATTCAATCATGTATATAATTTTTAGAAATAAACTGCATTATTAGTAAGGGTGTTGAGAAATAAAGTTTAAAGGTGAATGTTATGTAAAGAAAATATTGTAATAAAAAATTTTAATTTAATTTTTTTAAGAGAAAATATTATAATAAAAAAATTTGAGTTGTTATTTAAGGTGTTGTTTGGTGTAGAGATTCTGAATTCAAAACCATAATTATAGTTTAGAATCAGTATTTGTTTACAAAAAGTAAAAAGTAATTTTGATTTGACTCGCCCATAATAAGTGTTTAGTTAATATGATTTTTTATTTAAGGTTTGAATCCTGATGTGATATTTTAAATTATGAATCACCCATAATTCTAAAACCACCACTCTCTCTTTGGTTTTGGGTGGTTCAAACATTTGATTCTGGTTCTGATTTCAGAACCATAATTTGAATCTAAAATCATGAATCATAATTTTAGTTTCAAAATCAAAACTAGAATCACCATACTTTGAACTCTCTTATCAAACAAATATTAACATTTGGTTTATAGATTCAAAACCATAATTCAAAATTATTCTCAATTTACGTGTATTTTTTTGTAAAAAAAAATATTGTAACGACTCACAAATTATAATTCGAACCATGATACTCATACTAAACACAAGTAAATTATTTTGTGCCTGTTTGGAATCATTTCTAAAAACATTTTTCATGTTTTTCAAAAATAAAAAAATGAAAATGCTCTAACAAATGTGTTTAGCATCACATTTCTTAAAAAACAAAAACTGAAAACGTTTTTTCCTTATTTCTAAAAACTCAGCAAAACAAAACGGTTAAACATCGTTTTCGTTTCCATTTGGTATCAATGGTGATTCTAGCATCTCTACAAGGTCTAAACCTCTTCTCCTCCCTCCCTTCAACACCGCCCCCAAACGACCAACCTCCATCAACCTCATCGTCTCCTTCACCTTCGATCCCAATCCCCAAATACCCACCTTCCTCAAAACCACCGCCCCAAGTCCGTCCACCGCCACTCCAACTACTATAAAGCCCATCAGGGACGGCGTCATCGCGTCGGACGACGGCCGCTCCGTTGTCATCGGCGATTCTGACATCTCCTACCTCCTCCCCGGCGCGCCATTCGAGTTCCAATACAGCTACTCTGAGACCCCCAAGCTGAAGCCCTTGGCCATTCGCGAGCCGGCGTGCTGCCGATGATGCCAAGGCCGTGGACCGGGAAGGCTCCGCTGAAGAGCGCGAAGGAGAAGAAGAGGAATCGGAAGATTCCGCTCCTCGATTCGTTCAATCCACCACCGCCGGGGATGGAGGGAGTGAAGCAGATGGAGATGCCGGGGCCCCCCGACTGGCACCCCTAGCCCCCACTCTTCTGCGACTGTGCCCCCCCCCCAACTCTTCTCCGAAACCCATTTCCTCTGTTAGTTTTCATGTATATTAATGTTTATTTAATATATTTAATATTATTATTTATTTAATATATTTAATATATTATTATTTTAAATATTATTATATATTTTTAAAAATTAAACTACCAAACACAATTTTAATTTTTACTACCAAACACAATTTTAATTTTTTTTAAACTGAAAACAATCTCAGAATAAAATTATCAAACGCATTTTTAAAAATGATTCTAAAATGAAAATGAAAACGTTTTTCGTTTTCATTTTTATACAAAAAATAAAATCATTTTGAAACGAATTTTAAACGCAGTGACGTTTGGTTCATGAATTTAAATTATGTGATTAGAATTATTTTTAATTTACGTGTATTTTTTATGAGAGAAAATACTGTAACAAATCATGATTCGAATTAGAGAACTAATCTAGGTACCAAAGGACTCTTATTTTATTTTCTGGTAGATAGACATGGCGCGGGTCAAAAGCGGGGTAGAGGCGTCGGAAAAATCCGCATCGATCCGCTCCATTGGCATCCTATCTGAAACTAAAACGACAATCTAGTTGAAAAAAAAATAAAAAATTCATAAACGACACATTTTTGGGCTTCAATACAGAATTTACATATGGCATCATATCATTGGGTGCTCATACATCATTCTTTTCCCTTTTAATGTCTGAAAAAAAGAAGGGGCAGCAAAAAACAAAGAAAACCAGGCATAGCAGAAAAAAGAAGAAGAATCGACGAAGTGAGTTCTCTCAGGTTCCCATTTTCTTCCACCTCTAGGGTTTGTTTACGTTCTAGACTACGCTTTTTCTTAATTATTGAGTTTTGTCTGTTCTAAATTTATCATCTTGAAGAACTTTAAGGGCTCACTCTCCGTAGGATTTCCATTTTTCGATGAATTCGCTTGAGGCAGGAAATGATTTTCTTTTTCAATTTTTGTTTCTGTTTGGATGCTGAGAAATTCAAGGAAAGTTTTTTTCTTGCTTTTATGATCTGGAATATCGAAGGCTTGATGAGGTTTTAGGGTTGGTGGTGATGACCATATTCTCGTGGAGAATTCCAATATCTATATATTTTTTGCATAATTATAATATGGAATTTTTAGATTTTTTAGTTTCTAAGAGATTTGAGGTGTTCAAGGGAATAATAGAAGAAAGGAGAAAGTGAGATCTTACTTTGAAGGTTAAATTTCTTGTTTTCTTGTGATGTGATTTGTAACAGATTAGCGAATTTAGGGCTAGTTTGATATTGCCTTTAAGACCCCAAAATTCTTTTGCACTTATTCCGATGCAAATAATGTGTTTGTAGAGTCACAATGCACTTCTACAGTCATTTTGAGAAGTTGGATTTTTGTATGGAGGTTGTAATTTGTTGATTTGGTTGTTTGTTTAACATAACAGGTCACAAAAGAAAATGATTAGGCTTCAGACTTATGCGGGGCTTAGCTTTGTGGCAACTTTAGCAGTTATATATCATGCATTTAACAGTAGAGGCCAGTTTTACCCAGCCATGGTGTATTTGTCTACTTCCAAGATCAGTTTGGTGCTGCTTCTGAACATGGGTTTGGTGATTATGTGTATCTTGTGGCAATTAACGAAACGGGTGTTCCTTGGTTCTCTCCGAGAAGCGGAGGTAGAGAGGCTTAATGAGCAATCTTGGAGAGAGGTTATGGAAATTCTCTTTGCAATCACTATCTTCCGGCAGGACTTTTCAGTTTCATTTCTTGCCATGGTTACAGCTCTATTATTAATCAAGGCTTTGCATTGGTTGGCCCAGAAGAGGGTTGAGTACATTGAGACCACTCCAGCAATAACAGTCCTGTCTCATATTCGGATTGTCTCTTTCCTTGGGTTCCTTCTTACTCTGGACAGTCTCTTTTTGTATACTTCTGTAAATGATTTAATACGATCAAAAAAGGCATCCGTGTCCCTTTTCTTTTCATTTGAGTAAGTTATCTATGATCTATCCTATTGCTTTCTTGAGTGGTCTTTCTTATGGTTTTGTAAATTGAAATTGAAGGTAGATCATTTATTTGTTTATTTCTCTTAGATTGGTGCTGGAATTCATTCAAGCATCTAACTTGATTGATGTCAAGTAGTGCAATACATTTTTTAACCATAGATTGCTCGGAGTAAAAATAAACAAATATCTGTTTTTGACATCTTTGTCTTGCTTATGTGAAAAGTTACTGGTTGCTTTTTGATGGCCTAGGGCAATCTTTTGTTTTATGATCATATACTATTTTGACACGAATCATTTGGGATCTGCACACTCATTATTTGCAAGACTTGTCACCCAGAGGATGTTTTATAGTAATATAGGTCTAAAGTCTCAAGGCGCAATGTTACGTGCTTGCCGGTGCTAAATGCTTACCAATTGATATCTCAGGTACATGATCCTCGCTACAACAACAGTGTCAACATTCGTCAAATATGTGTTCTATGTCAGTGACATGCTTATGGAGGGACAGTGGGAGAAAAAGCCTGTCTATACATTTTACTTGGAACTCATACGTGACTTGCTTCACCTATCTATGTATCTATGCTTCTTTCTTGTCATTTTCATGTGAGTGTTATATTCAACCTTGGAGTTTTGTTTGCATAGAGAAAATTGCACGCTTTTCTTTTATTTATTTTTTAATCCCCTGGGATTTTGACTATTTAGATGTCTTAGTTTTACAATAAGGACTATAAAGTTTTTGAATTTTGGTCTGGATCATTCATCCACTCTCTCTCTCTCGCTCTCTAAATGTTTTCTTTGAATTTGTCTCTGTACAGGAATTATGGAGTACCTTTACACTTAATACGGGAGCTTTATGAGACATTTAGGAACTTTAAAATTCGTGTTGCTGACTACATTCGTTACCGGAAGATCACTTCAAACATGAATGATCGATTTCCAGATGCAACACCTGAAGAGCTTAATGCGTGAGCATCATGTTTCCTGAGTATATTATTTTCGTGATTAATATATTCTAATAAGTCGCATTTCTATTTGCGCTAATGTACATGCAGAACTGATGCAATCTGCATCATTTGCCGTGAAGAGATGACTACAGCCAAGAAACTGATTTGTGGGCACCTCTTTCATGTGCATTGCTTGCGCTCATGGTTAGAGCGACAACACACATGTCCTACATGCAGAGCCTTGGTTGTGCCTCCTGAAGATGCAACAAGTGTGACCGGAGGACAAAACGCATCCCGTTCAGAGGCTCATCAAGGTACTCAAATTGCTATAACTCTGCTGCATTTTTGTCCTTTTCCCCCTTAATTACTAATTACTTCTGGGAACTGCAGGGTTCTTTTCTGCTAACCCTTCCTTTTGATCTAGAACTTCCACATAGCAGTCGTAGTTGAATTTGTTATTGATTTACATTCTTTGTACCATTTGACATGTTCTAAAATCTTATCGACATTATTGTCTGCAAAATAGTTGTCATGGATGCAGTTAAAGCCTTTATTTTTATTTTTTTATTTTTATCTGACTTAACTATTTCATGGTTGGTATTTTTGCTTTTGTTTCTCGTAATGCCATTTGGATAACATAAATGATACTGCAGTGCTACATTGTTTTAAACTTTAATGTTACGTCTAAATTGCGGAGAATTGCCGAGAAATCATATTTCATTCTTTTGGGAACAGGGACAGGCATCTCAGGTTCATCCCTGCAGGGTTCAGCCAATAGTGTTGCTGGTGAAAATGTGAGCCATCATCAGGCCAGGCTCCAGGCTGCTGCTGCAGCTGCCGCAATATACGAGAGATCTTATGTTTATCCTTCTGCAAACGCTGTAGTGTGGTATGCACCATAAGCGTCTTCAGTTGTCTGCAACATTATAACTGTCTTCTGCCTATATATGTGTTTCTGCGATGTGCTGAATGCAAGCCTGACTAGTTTTGCGTGTAAACTTCTCTTCTTGGATACATCCATACTAGGAACAGGTGTGCTCGATGGAACCATAAGTAACAAGTCTAACATGTAAAAGAAAAGCTAATTAAAGTTTATAAGTATAAAACATAAAACATCAAGGTTGCATATTATTTGACAGCTTCACCCTATCATCACACTTCCTCCCCAAATTTGAAAACTAGTTTTATAGTTTTTAATGCAATATATTAAGATAAGAACCATATTGGTATTATTGGGTCCGGATGTTTCACCACCTTGATGAATGAAGCCATTCTAGAGTTCTCAGATGCAGCATCGAAGCAAAAACATGGAAGCTTAAGAAATTACACCTCTTGTTCGCAGGCATCCTGGATCTGCTGCTGCTTTCTTACCTCAGGCTCAAATACCTTTTGCCCGGTCTTCTTCTGGTGCTGAATCCAGTGGCGAACCAGCATCTAGTGCACAAGCCAAACAGTTTGTACCCTTTGGGGATCCTGCCAACATGTCCACCTATTTGCAGAGGTATGAAGATCGAGAAGCTCAAAGGAAGCTCATTCAGCATCAGATGGAGGTATTGTAAATAGTTGTACCGGGTCACTTAACAATGTGGCTCGCCCAAAAAAAAAAAGGGCTTTCGTCATATATGAATTTCACTTTCTGCTTTATTTTGGTTCTTTCTGTATTTTTATTATTCTCTTTCTTCATGATGTTATGGATCAATTAAAAAAGGCTTCACCTTATCTAACGTAAGTGTAATGAAAGCTGTGCAATCGGATATTCTATTGAAGTCCAACCCCTTATACACCACATGTCTTGGTCCCGGAAAATCCACCGTAAGTTTGAGTTTTTCTGTAGTTTGATGGGAGCAAGAGTTGTGGTGATGACCATAATAATTTCTCGTGCTCTTCATTTCATCCTTTACTCCTTCCATGTTCTCAAACTTTTGTTGTGTTTTTCTTAGATCCTAGTTATATCCCTTTGGCGTCCATCTTTTATATTCACATTGTCGTTGTTCTTGACTCGACTTTATTTTTCATATTGTGATTCTACAGATCCTGCAACATCAGCTTCAACTTTTACAGAATCCTAAAGCCAACGAAGACACAAATACCGAAGCTGGATTATCCTTCGGCAGCAGCCAGGAAGAGAATGTAGCATCTGTTTCAGAATGTGATCACCATGGCAAGATTGATTGACTTGAAGCATTTTCAAAATGTATGGATACAAAATATCTCAACTAGTAGACCCAGAAATGTGCATATAGGGGAAACACAACTAGATAAAAGAAGGTGTTGCATTGCTAATCAGAGAACCACTGTCGTTTGACATATGACAAGGTACTGAGCAATGTCGTATTGTTTGTTGTTGCCACCAACCTGTGTGGAATGGTTTGTGGCTTTTTGCCGGATCTTGATGTAACTTGTCCATTTGTAGTGCTAATTTGCACACAATTTCTTTTTCTTTTTTCCCCTCTTGCTTTTTAGTTTTGAATAATTTGGAGTGGATAACAACAAATACCAATTAATGTACTATTTGGCACCGAATGTTCAAAAGGGTTGAAATATTTTTCTAATCATTATCAGATTCAGTTGAAATCTTTTGATTGTGTGATTCTTGTTGCGTCTTGATTGTATGGCATACAAACTTCATCTCGAGAACAAGATGGTACTTATACAATTGCTACCATGGATAAAGGAGGCATATGCTTGTATTGACACGGATGGGCAATTTGAACATTGAACGATAAAAAGGAAAATTGTAAGAAACATTAAGGAGACGTTTGGTTCATGGATTAGAATCATTTTGGTTCATGGATTAGAATCATGTGATTAGAATCATTTTTAATTTACGTGTATTTTTTGTAAGAGAAAATACTGTAGCGAACAATGAACCATGATTCAAATCATGGTTTGAATCTTTCAACCAAACATCCCCTAAACAACAAAATGCTTGTTCAACGACAAATTACACTGACGACGGTGAACTTATTCTATTGTTAATTGAAAACCTTAATCACATGTCGTTTTTCAGTTCATCATTTCTTCTGCAGTGTTAAGTGATAAAAAAAAAGGGTGATTCTGTTAAGCGACTTGACTATGATTGGATAAGTGAAAGAATATGTTTGGGCGTGCTCAAGTCTTATATAATTAATCAATTAACACATGCAATAATGTTTATAACATATGGCGAGACGGCGCAACTCAAGGAAGAAGCTGATCACGAGCATACGCATAAATTGTAAGAATTTTCCTTAAGTGTCCCATGTGTATTTATAGATATTTTCAGGGTTATTTTGTACGAATACCCTTTGAACTTTTTGAATTTGACAATTTAATCTTTAAGCTTTTTTTCTTGATAATCAACACCCTGAATTTATAATTTTTGACACTTTCAACCCTTGTTGGTCAAATTTGTTCAAATTTTAACCCTATTTTGGACCTAACTTGCCAATGATGGCCTAATAAGGACATTGATGTTCATTTTTGTTTAGTTTCAATACAAATACATTTCAAAACTTGAACGTAATTTAATTATAACTTAAACTTTAATCTAAATTTAACATGAAATTTTATTAATATTAAACAAAAATATCATCAATGTGCTTCTTAAGCGGTCACTTGTAAGTTTGGCGCAAAAAACCATCAAAATTTTAATGAATTTGAGCAGCAAGGACTAAAAGGGCTAAAAATTAAACGTTTTGGGGGTTCATTGCAAGGTAAAAAAGTTTAGGGACTAAATTACCAAATTTAAAAAGTTTAGGGAGTATTCATATAAAGTGGCCTATTTTCAATTGAGGAAGTTTGACGCAACATTTAATAAAATAATAAAGGATAAATATTATTAGGTCTTCTCTCCACTTATAAATGAACAAATTGGGTTTTTTGCATAATTAAAGGTTAACTTATATAAATGTCGGATTCTTGTATAGAGAAAATTTGTTGTAATTGTAAGTGTACATATTTAGCTTTGCTTTCCACCAAAAAAAAAAGTGTAAATTTTTAGGATTAGAACAGGAAGAAGAAACAGACATAAATGATTAAGACCGACATAAATGATTAAGTACAAAAAATATCGTCACCATTAGCTAAATTAGATACTAAATTGTACTAGAAGCTAAATAGAAGACGAACACCAGAAACAAACAAATTAAAGAAAGCTAAACAACTTTGATTGCTTATCGTTTTCACTTCAGGGGAATGAGAAGAAGAGTCAAAACGCGACTCAATTTCAATGGAACCTATTCAGGTCCCGTTCACTTCGCTGATTCGAGTTTAGAATTTGAGTTGAGATGTGACTTTATGTGAGAGCTTTTTACTGTAGTAAAAAAGTTAGATGTGATTGTTTGTGAGAGCTTTTTACTGTAGAAAAACTCAAATTCTAAACGCGAATCAGCGAAGTGAACGGGGCCTTATTTTGTATGAGAATGATACAAGTTTGACTGCCATAAAATAAATAAATAAATATATAAATCCGTTCCATAGGTAATTGAGTCGCGTTTGACTCCTCTTCTTATTCCCCAGAAGTAAAAACTGGTTTGTCTTCTAGCCCAAATAAAAATGTGGAAGCTTGTCATATTTCAAGTTGTAAATACACACACAGATATATATATATATATATACACACACACACACACACAGACATATATAAATTAAAGTTCGTTTTTCCTTCTGGGGAAGGTGAAAAGATTGTGTGAATCCTATAATTGGGAGGTCGTCCAATAGATCTCTCTTACAGCAGCCCTTATTCATCATTTTTCTGCTCTTTTTGACGTTTTCGTTGTTACACAACCATGGCTATGATAAGAAATAAGAATATTGATGTTTTTGGTAGTGGCAAATTGATTGCAACCAAACGTTGATGTGTTTTAAGAAACTTTCACTTTTTTTTTTTTTTTTTCCTAGTAGGGTTGATTTTATTGGTCTTGAACTTGACCTTATTAGTTATGTAATTTGGTTTTTTTTTTCCTTTGCCAATTACTCTCTCTCTCTCTCTCTCTCTCTCTTTTTCTTATTTGTAATTATAGATTAGTAGTTGCGTGATTTATTTCGGTAACATGATTCTTCTTTGAAATTTTATACTTCTAATAATTAGCTGGATTTATCAGTTAAGCTGACAAGAAACAACCATAATTTGAATTTTAATGGATAACAAAGAATTAACGTGTACACTTTATATACTACAACTGATTATGCTAAAGAATTAACGTGTACACTTTATATACAACTGATGCTGAGTGCTAGGTACTTGAGCAGTATCAGCTGCATCACCACATTTTTTTCTATATATAGACCTTTATACCAAAAAGAAAGGAAAAGGTTGGTGATATCATGAAGGTGGTTTTAAGGTTGCAACTTTTAGGGGTCCTAGTGTTCGTTGGCATCTTCCATTCCGAAGCTTGGGCTCGTTATTCTTTTGTGGTAACCTACACACACACACACACACATATATATATATATATATAGACACACACACACACACACACACACACACACATATATATATATATAGACACACACACACATGATACACACCAAAGAATAATTATAGGCCTCCTTAATTAGTATTTATTACATTTTTAATTTCATTTTTATGAGGTAGCTACGTACTTAGTATTTGTATTATTATGTTGCTAGTTGCAGAGGGCCTTTTAATAGGTATAAAAGGACTGTTTTACAGGTTGAAGAAACCCCATACACAAGGCTGTGCGGCACCAAGAACATCTTGACAGTAAACGGTACATTTCCCGGACCGACACTATATGTTCGCAGAGGAGATACCGTTGTGGTTGATGTTTATAACAAGGGAACTCGTAACATTACTATCCACTGGTATTTGATGATCATACATCTTCTTATAAATTCATTACACCATCGCTGAAAGAGAAATTGTCATGTGAAAAAGAAAAAAAAAATTGAGTCTTATACGCGATAGTTAATTTTAAGATATATTTTAATGCTATCACACACACGCATGTATGATGATTGGTTACCAATCTCTCTCATATTGGATTCATTATTTTTTCATTGACCTATAAATTCTACGCATAATTAATATTAAAACTATAAGTTGTTAGATAATATTATATTAATATTGATGTTCAAACTACTCGATTACACACTCAAGAATCAAGACGTTACGTGTAAGATATAGAATTTAAAATTTAGTTGATCTCTCATTAATTTTTATTATTTTATTAAGGATTAGATTAGTCAATCCCATTATTATTATATGTTGATCAACCTACCCTTCTACTATGTTATATTTCTCTATACCAGTTATATTGTTTAGAACTTCATTTCTGTTATTGTTCTTATATATTTTCTCTCTAAAATTCAATCTAACAATTTCAGGCATGGAGTAAAGCAATCCAGAAATCCATGGTCAGATGGTCCTGAATATATCACACAATGCCCAATTCAACCAGGAGCCAAGTTCAGTCAAAATATCATATTCTCCACAGAAGAAGGAACCCTTTGGTGGCATGCTCACAGTGAGTGGGACCGAGCCACCGTCCATGGCGCTATCATCATCTATCCCAAAAATGGAACCGATCACTACCCCTTCCCCAAGCCTCATGCAGAATTCCCTATCATATTAGGTACGTAACAATATATATACACATATATAATTCCTATTATATTGGGTAACTATATATATCTGGACGATTATTCAATGGTTACGTACTTATCATATTATAAAAATAAATGCATATCTTAATTATATTTGATGGTATTGCATTGTATAGACTTGCTACAACCAAGTTAATCAGCACCTTAAGTATTAATTAAAAAGATTACCATGAGTTCTCTAAATATAATGCTGATTAATTGACATAATTATTTTCAATAAACTATTCAATTCGTTGCAGTCATCTAATTCATATCACATGACTAAAACGACAATATCCACAAACGAGTCAATATAAAGCCAAGATGCCAATGCTGTAATTTTTGTAGGGATCCTTCAGGTCATAGCCAATCATCTGTAATGGGAATGAAAATTAATTTGGTGGCCTTAAGAGATTAAAAGACAAAAAATTAATTTGTTATCTCTTGTAACTATGATCCTATACATATACATGTAAGTACATCTTTGCATATATATATATATATTGAAAGATAATATATTATTGAAAGATAAGTACCTCTTTAAGATAATATAAGCCAAGCTGCCAATGCTGTAATTTTGTAGGGATCCTTCAGGTCATAGCCAATCATGTATGATGTGAATACAAATTAATTTGGTGGCTAAAAGAGATTTAAAGACAATTAATTTGTTATCTCTGATTTGTTGTCTCTTGTAATTATGATGCTGTACATCTAAATATAAGTACCTCTTTACCACATATATATATATATATATTGAAAGATAATATAAAATTTGGGACATAATAAATTGTAGGAGAGTGGTGGAAGCAAGATATAGACAAGGTTTACAATGATGCTATTCAGTCTGGAGGAGATCCTGTTGCTTCAGATGCTTTAACCATCAACGGTCAACCTGGTGATTTTTATCCTTGCAGCTCAAAATCAGCAGGTCAACCTCTTTATTCATAACTAAAATTAATAAAAAAATGCTACCATCAATCATTCTATCACTTTTTATATTAATTATTTGACACGTAGATTGTACTAATATGATATATTATTATTTAAATAAAAAATAATATAGTTAAATGTATATGTCAAATAGCGAATAACAAATTACTTAGATTGTAGTTAACGGTTAATTAAAATTGTAAAGTACCAAAGCGTTAGTGATTTCAATTGACAATATTCATGATGAATATTTTGCAGACACATTCAAGCTAAAGGTTGACTTTGGTAAGACTTACCTGCTCCGTCTAGTCAACAACGCCTTGCAGATCAGCCTCTACTTCGCCATCGCCAACCACACCCTAGCAGTCGTCGGCTCAGACGCAAGTTACCTCAAGCCATTTGTCACTGACTACATCTCTATATCACCTGGTCAAACCATCGACGTCTTGTTCACAGCTAACCAAAACCCTAATCACCTCTACTACATGGCCGCCGGAGTCAGCTCCGACGCTACTCCTCTTGTCGTCGAGAACAACACCACCACCACAGCCATAATCCACTACAATAATCAAAACCACACTAGTCGTAGTACTACTCCCTTGATCCCAAAGCTTCCTTCCTACGATGACACCATTTCATCGGTTAATTTCACAAGTAGGTTTAGGAGCTTAGTTGACAAAAATCACCCCATAGACGTTCCAAAACACATAAGAAAGCGAATGTTCTTCACCGTCTCTATGAACACCTTACCTTGCCCTAATGACACTTCGTGTCAAGGGCCTAACGGGTCTCGTTTAGCGACGAGCGTGAACAACATTAGCTTTGTGACCCCAACACCAATTGACCTATTAGAAGCTTACTATTATCAAATCAAGGGTGCATTCGGGGTCAAGTTTCCGAGCTTCCCGCCGCTGAAATTCAACTTCACGGCCGAAGATCAACCGTCGTACTTGGAGACACCGAAGAGAGGGATAGAATTGAAGGTGTTGAAGTACAATGCAAGTGTGCAGATTGTATTCCAAGGGACGAGTATAGTTGATCCGAGTGAACATCCCATGCATCTCCATGGATTCAGTTTCTACGTGGTTGGAATTGGCTCTGGCAATTTTGATAAACACAAGGACCGTTTGAAGTTCAACCTTGTTGATCCTCCTCTTCAGAACACCATTGCAGTTCCTCTTAATGGCTGGATCGCTATCAGATTTAAGGCAGATAATCCCGGTACATACATCACACTAGCTACTAGTTTTTTTTTTTTTGTACAGAAGATTCATAATTCATGAGGTACAAACAGAAACACCTATTGATATGCGCGCGGTCGCTAGATCATATTAGAATCATGTCAAAATAAAAAGATAAGTGTATTTAACAGAACTTGATAGACTATAATGGTTTAGAGCTGCGCAGTATCAATAGCATATTCTTTCTCTATCTTACCAAAGAATTCTCCTGTTCATTTATTAATTTGTTTCTAATTTTATCATACTCTACTAGTAGAAAGTTTGTAGACCTAGAGTAGTACTGTCAAATTACATGATAATGAAAAACAATCAAAATTTATGGAAACATCTCGCAGTTTAGAATTACGCAGTACCTTTGAAATAAATTTTTTTTTTTGGGTACTTTATTTTAATCTTATGATAGTTAATTTCCATAAAAGATAATGATGTGTTTTGTTTAACTTGTTTGTTTGCTGAAACTGCAGGGGTTTGGTTTATGCACTGCCACTTTGACAGGCACATGTCGTGGGGGATGGACATGGCTTTCATTGTCAAAAACGGGAAAACTCCAAATACTCAAATGTTACCCCCACCGCCAGATATGCCACCATGTTAAGACTAATAATGTCTGCTTTTATATTTTTCTAGATTTTCAGCCATTGAAATTTTTTAACAATGCATATTCACAAACGACTTCATGTTTCCTGTTTTTTGCTTGTCAACTCTGGGTAATTCTTCTGGAGGAGTAAAGATAGATTTAAAATAATAAAAAAAAAGGTGCTATATATTGCTCCTAAGAGGACCACTACTGTCGTTTGACATATGACACAGTTCTGAGCAATGTCGTGTTGTTTGTTGCTGCCACCAAGCTGTGTGGAACGGTTCATGGTTTTTCTGGATTTTTATGTAACTCGTCCATTTGCAGTGCTAATTTGCACACAATTTCTTTCTTTTCTTCTTCTTCTAATTCGTTTTTTTTTTTTTTTTTTTTTTTTTTTTTTTTTTTTTTTTTTTTCTCCATAGTTTTGAATATATAATTTGGGGTGGATATTCAAATGGTACCATATTCAAAATGGGTTGAAATATTCTGCAAATCATTGTCCGTTGAAATCTTTCGATTGAATGGTTCTTGTTGCATCTTGATTGTGTGGCATACAAATTTCATCTCCAGAACAGGTATTAGTCCTACAATTGCTACCATGGATAAAGAAGGTATATATGTACTTGTATATAACATGAATAAGCAATTTGATTTAAGCCAAATGAAATGATAAACGGCAGTCATTTGGATAAAAACCAATAACTAAAAATGTCACAAATCAGAGAACGAGGCAAAATAGTTCATACGACAAAAGGAAAAAAAATGACGAGAAACATTAAACGACGGTATACTTATTCAACGATAAATTACGCTGCCATTATTATAGCAAAAAACTTAAACAAATAACCCTGACATCAAAACAACAACAAATCAGAAAACGGAAGAACCAGAAGGACAATAAAGCGAAGTACAACAAAACTGGGCAAACGACGACAAACAAAAAATTTTTAAAACTAAAAACTCCGTTAGAATAAAAGATGACAATCATTTCCATAGACGGCAATATATGAGAGACGACAGTAGGTGAAAAGAACGATGGCAAACATGAAACAACAGAAACAAAATGACCACAAAATGAAAAACGGAAATCGATTAGACCAGAGACGAAAAAGGTCATTAAATTAAAATGGAAACGACTATAAATCTGTAAACGACACAAAGTTTCAGACGAGGACAATATAGAACACCACCACATACAACTGAACAACATAAAATGAAAACCTCTTTCAGAGTTTTTAATTCTAATTTTGTTACAGTTAAAATCTCTCATAAAGAATCACATTTAACTTTTTTACTACAGTAAAAATCTCGCACATAAAATTACATCTAAACTCGAATTGAAAACTCAAATCCGCGAACTGAACGAGACTAACTTTGATTGCCATAAATTAAATAAGTAAATAAATCCTTTCAATTGAAATTAAGTCTCCTTTTGATTCTTTCCGAAAGAGAGAAAAAAAAATCACCTATTCTTATTTATTCCTCTGAGGTTAAAACCTTGTTACTCATATAAAATGAGTCCCGTTAAATAAGTAGGTGAAATTCAATCTACCGGCCAAGATACTAGTGGTCTTTCTTTCTGATCTCAGACCGCTCTTACCTTGCCTTTTTTCAGTCGTTTCAAGGTTGATCAAGTTTGTTGATATATATCAAGGCACCTTGACTTTCTAGCATATGTATATATACATGCGATTAAATTGGATATCTTTGTTTGGTTACAAATTTATGGACTTGGAATTAGATATTGGGTTTGTCTATGTTACGAATATTGATTTAGTTGGGATTAGTAAGTTAAATTCAAAATTAGTCGTACCAGTTGTAGTAGTTCATCAGAGTATATGTTGACACTGGCTTTGTCACGAAGCAATATATTTCTTAAAAAATTATTACAATTATAGTAATTGTAGTGAATAGCAACTTTATAAAACTAAAAGAAGTAAATAGTATATTTTAAAAGTATTTGAAATAAATAATGGTTTATCATGTAAATATTTTATTTACGACAAGTAAAAAATAATTTATTTGATAAAAAAATTTTCATTTATGTGGAAAATAATATTTTATTAATTGTAAAAGGAAAATTTGCATGAAAATAAATCTTTTTATCAATCATAAAAAGAAATTTACACGGTGAACTGTTATTTACTTTAAATAATTTTAAAATCTATTATTTTACTTTAATTATTTACTATTGTTAGGGTCAAAATCTGCACCAAGATCACAGTCGTACACGTGTATAAAATTTGGGGAAGAAAGTCGAGTGAAATCGACTGGAGACAAAATGACTGGAGAGACAATGACGACCGGAGAAGCACGACGATGGGAGACCCGTAGGGACCACCGTGGATAAAATGGGAAAGAAAATTCCTTGAAAGTCACAAAGTCCAGTCCACCCGAATTCTACATTAAAGACACGAATCTGATCAATATAGAAGAATAAAGTAACTACAAGCCAAATAAGGAAACGAAAAAGAGGAAATCAACTCAAGAAAAAGGAAACCAGAGATCTTCTCCTATAAAAAGAGGATGGAATCATGAATTATACATCAAATTCATCACTTACAGACCCATATATCAAATTTATCACTCTCTCTAGATTCTCTCTAAATTCCCTCATCTTTTATCTCCTTTTTTACTCTCCATTGTAATCGTAAATTTGATAAAATATAGTGAAACTCTGAGACCCTACAGTAGACGCAACCCTAATGATTCATCATTAATTTTCAATTTTTTTAAAAGAAAAATACTTTTTAAATTACCCTAAAATAATTACTTGAGCCAATTATTATTATTATTATTTTTAACTTGTATGGGGATTCAAGTCTACACTTTGTGACAGAATCAAAGTATAAATTTGTTGTTAGACTATAATTACAACCGCAATACAAGATGATATTGTGTGGTGTTAACATGCAAAATAATTTAGCACACAAAACAACACCACACCTCATATAGCAATTTTCCTGCTAAAATGATAAAAAAAAAAAAAAAAAAAAAAAAAAAAAAAAATTTGACATTGCATTGGAAAGACTCTGAGCCTTCACCTGGGTCCGGGACGCTTGGCGCGTTTAAAATATGAAATCTGCCGTCAAAAGTATCATACAAACATACCGATGGTATAATCACTGATGACCGTCAATATATTTACAAAGATATAAGAGGTATTTTGCAATGATACTAATAACTTTGAAAATCAGTAATAGTTCGTTGGTGACAAGCGATATCCTATTATAGTACTTTGTATTAACTGCCTGGAGACCACCTTGTCCTATCATAATACTATGTGACCCGGCGGGAGGCCATCAGTAGTATCTCACTCTGAAACTAAAACTTGTAACAATCCATAGTAGTCGGCCGGTAATCATTAGTATCCTACCGTTATACTTGGTATCTTACCGCTTGTTTCTTAAAAAAAAAAATTACTGAACTTACTTTTAAAAGTATATAAATCTGAATTTTTATCTTTTATTTTTAATTAGTATCTTTTTATTAATATAGTTATTTAATAAAAAAATATAATAATTAAAAATAAGGAGTAAATACTTATACATTTTAACAGAATATTTGTTAAAATTTCTCTTTATTTTGCCACCGAATAAGAAAAACCTAATTTGTTACGGGAAAAACTGAGAAAAAAAAAGAAAAAAGAAAAGTCAATGAAGAGAATGTTTGGTAGAGGGATTTGTTCCCTGATTCGAATCATGATTCATGGTTCGCTACAGTATTTTTTCTCACAAAAAATTCACGTAAATCGAAAATGGTTCGAATCACATGGTTTGAATTCTCCAACCAAACGTCCTCGAAGAGCTTTTAAAACTGGGGAGGCTGGTCTCCGCCTGCAATAGGTTCCCTCTAATTTTTCCAAACAACAATTGCTGACCAATATAAAAAGAACAATTACCAATTTTGGACTTTAAAGTTTCTTTCCATCTGTCTTTTTCTGCTTTTACCCCCCAAATATCACGCTTTGTCTATAAAAATCGACCCTATGAAATTCACAAACCCTTCTTGCCCCTCAATCTCATTTTTCTTGTCTACCAGAAAGAAAATAAAAAAAAAAGAAATATTTTTTTGAAATAAGAAATAAGAAAGAAAAATCTTTAAAAGAGAAAAAAATGAAAAAAGTGAAAAGAAATTATGTAGTGAGATGAAAAAAATATCACACCAACTAGAGTTCAAAGATCGAGTTTATTATCTTCACATGTGAAAAGGTAAATTATCTTACACAAAAAGACTAATTATTCAACTATGAACAATCAAATACCTAAAAATCATATCAAAATTAACATACATAAATTTAATTGAATAAACACCGATGATGCATTTTTTTTACCAAAAAAAGGGGGAAAATTAAAAAAGAAGAAAGGAAAAATGAAAAAAAATAAAAAGAATTATATAGTAATATAAAAAATGCTACATGATCGCAATGGCAAAATTAATTATCCTCATGCGTAAAGATACCGGATTACCAAATAAAATATACTAACATTATCAAAATCATATAAAACTAAAACAATATGTGAATTTAAACCATACAAATACTAAAAATCTCATACCGGTTAGAAACTGACTGTAATTATATTTATTATCTTCATGCATAAATATCTAAGAATAGTTATTTAATTATGAATCATTAGATGACGTGATAAAAAACTAAATATACAATATTAATCATAAAAATATAAAAATAAACGAAATACCATATCAACCAGAATATGACTTGGGTGAATTTATAATCTTCATGCAAAAAGATATTTTTTTGAAATAAAGTTGTTATTATAAACAAAATGCGTTTAATACAATAACAAGTTCTATATTACATTAAAATAAAAAAGATGTACGTGAATTTATCGATTTTTTTGTTTTTACCTCAATAAAAAAATACTTAATAACTAAGATCCCGTTTATTTTATTGATTTGAGTTTTGTTATAATAAAAAATTTTTAAAAATAATCATATTTAATTTTTTTTACTATAATAAAAAATTTTCACATAAAATCATATTTTAATTCAAATTAAAAATTTAAATAAACGAACTAAACGCATCATTAAATTCTCTAAAAACTACTGAGAACCCCAAAAAATAAAATAAGAATAAAAAAAATTAAAAAAATTAAAAAACCCAGCCAAAACCAAATGTACTCCTCAGCCCTTCACTTCACTCTCCCTTCTCTAAACTCTGCTTCATTTTCAAGCTGTCTCTTATTTCCCCCTCTCTCTCTCTACATTCATTTATAAATTCACGCCCTTTTCTCTTTTTCCTCTTCC